GTAAAAGAAATAAGTAAAGCTAAGGAAAACAGATAGTAAGATTGAGGAGGGAAATTTACCTCTAGAGGCTGCCATTTGAATGGAAAGCCATGGAAGAGTGATTTGAGGTCCTCGAAGTTTCAGTGCTGCGTTGGAGTTTTTGCCTTCTGGTGATCACCGTGTATCGGACAAAGCTGTTAATTTACCAAAACGACCTCAGTTCTTCTGTCTTTCTTTTCTTTTTGGGCTCGCAAAATGGGTCCAGCCCAAACCATATGCTTGGATCAGATGTATGTTTGGGCCAGATCAAAAAATATGGGCCCATCTTTTCTAGCCTAGCCGAGCTCATATGGAAATGTTAGCTCCAGCCCAACCGAGCCCCACATTCAAAAGTTGGCTTTCTACTTATAATATTTCCTTTTTCGGTTTTAAAGAAGAAGACAGTGCTCAGGGCAATCTCCTACACGCACTAGGAGACTTCCAATCGCTGATGTAAATGAATTTCATAACAGTATATACATGCATATAGTCCTTGGCATTCCTTAAAGATAAAAGAAAGGTCCATATAGTGAAAAGTTTTACAATTATACTTGTGGTGGCGTTATTATCATTCATGTCTCCACAATGAGAGTTTGATTCTCGCTCTTCTCGTCTTCGAAATAAAATGAAAAATAAAAATGAAGGACCCGCATAAATGGTTGTCCATGCAGCTCTACACCTTCTATGGCTTGCCGAGCTCTAAAAAGTTTGCATTACTTCACTACTTTTTTAATCCACCATTTCTTTCCAAGAAGGGACAATGCGCCGTCTAGTCTTCGCATAACCAAAATAAATCCAACATTAATTAATTTCCGATAAGCATTCCATCTAATTAATCCAACACCAATAATTCCACCTATAATCCTATTTGCTAGGAAGACCTTTTAATTAGCACTCAATTAGGTGTGAAAGTGAGGGTAGATTAAAAACACCAAAATTAACAAATGTTCTGGTTGTGTTTGTGTCTTTGTATGTGTGACCCACTTTGAAACTTTTTGTGTGAAATGAGTCAAATGATGTGATAGGATAGGAGCAACAAAAAAAATATACTTGATTGTATGCGGGTCATTGGGTCTTAGTCTTTCGGCTAGAAAAAGAAAAGCAGAGTTCATGATATTAATTCCCATCCAAAATAAACTATTTTCAACTATGATAATTCAAAATAACAGGTCACTCCTCCTTCACATTTGAAGAGAAGACAACACAACAAAAATCTAATTATCTCTTCTCCTACCTTTATATATATTTTCTACTTTCTATTAGTTTTTTTGGACAATGGTTATGTGACTTGGAGACATATCTGTATGTGAACGTGCTCATAGCGGATCTTGAGTTTGTGTAATATGAGTCGTATTTTGGAGTCTTGTAGACGGTCAATACTGGGACATAAGAAGGCTACAAAGGCTTTAGAATAGCGTCTTTAATGTGCTTCACCGTACCAAGCTTGCCTTTTTACTTATATTTTATTTTGCTTTTACTACCTATTAATTTTGTTTTTTTTATAGTTTCATTGTACCTTAAAAGCTTTCCAATTTATTTATATATTATTTATAATATAAAGATTTTTGTTGTGTACGGTATCAAATTTATCAAATTTATGGTATTTCGAAAGATGTCCTATCCTAAATTCAAATTGGATAAAGAAAATATTCAATACCACATAAATCATGTTAGGCTCCTTATTATTTTAAACCTCTAATCCCCAATTAGAGAGAAGTGTGTTTACACTGCATGACAGGACACACAGCACAGATGTGTGTAGACGTTTTTTTACACTTCAATACCTTTCAATTGGTTCTTTTCTTTTCTTTCATTAGGGATTTTTTTAATTAGGTTATGCACTTACAACTATTCTACTTGAAGTTGATTGAAGCAATCATCACTGTCATTAAGGTTTTTTTTATTGCATTATTTAAATACAATTAATAATCAACTTGGCTCATCGTCCTAGAACTTAATAGAAGAAATCATCATTAATTATGAGATTAGTTGTGCTAACCCAGGTACAACTTCATTATCTTTTTTTATATTCGACAAAACAACTACCAGAATTTAGACTTACAGAGGCACCCAGGCCTAAACATATCCAACTCCATCACAAATGCTCTCTGCCCGGATAAAGACTTTATGCTAGCTAACCAATGGTTAATTGATTTTCCAGTTTCGTGTACGCCAGAGATTCTCTTGTAGAACGATTATTTTGCTATCACCATCACCCTCTCCGTGGTCTATATAATTTAAGTCGTCTCAATAACATGTTGCACTTTGTTTAAGAATTTTATACAAAAATAAGTTAATAAAAGTGTTGGTCAAATAAATATCGTTATACCTTTAGATTTAGTTATGTATAACTTCACCTCTGTAGACGGATGCTTGTTATACCTATCGTTATATCTATAAATTCATTGAATTAGACCTCGTTGAAACCGTTGTTAGATATGTTTAAGTTTGCCAAACATCATGTCTTTAAAATATATGTCTACAAACCTTTACTCATGTAATGTAAGGGATGGTTGTTAACAATTCAAGCTTTTTAGAGCATCCACAGTGGGGGGTGTAAATTTGGGGGTGTAAAGCCACTTTTACATCCCCTTTACACCTCCGGGGGGGTGTAAATATGTTTTTTGCTCCAGTGGGGGTGTAAATTCGGGGGTGTAGCTGTGGGTCCTAGTCTTTTATGTTGATTTTTCTTCATTTTTCTTCTCTTTTCTCGGGTGGGTCCCGCCCGCAAGAGATGTAAAAATAGATGTAAATATACATTTTATTTTACATCCCCATGGTGGTGATGTATATATTTTTTTTTTTGGTCAATAGGTGGTGATGTATATTTACATCAATTTACATCTCCTCATTGGAGACGATTCCGGTGACTCGGGGTGTATATTTAACATACACCCCCATATACACCCCCCACTGTAGATGCTCTTAGTGTGGCCTTTCGTATGACTGAAATCTTATTTGCTACTTTATTAAGAGGCCGTGCAGTGTGCACTATGATTGGGATGCTATATACAAGTCAACCAGCCTTTCTTTAATCTCTGATGTCATGCTTTTCAAAATGTGTGATCATCTCGATGCCCTAATTAATACAGTTGCTTTTTGCTAACTTTGGAGTTTGGTTATGTTCCCAGATATTGTATTTTCGCATTTAGAATGTTAAGTGGTGCTTAATCTCAACTTTTATCCTATAATTTGTCATGTTTGATTCTGCTAACCAACTTTGATTAGTCCCAAATTGACTAGTTTCGATTGCAACAGCAGCACAATTTGGTAAGTGGTGCTTCTGCGGTCGGCAATACAATATTTATCTTTAAAATATATAATAATAATAATCATTACAGAATACAAAACAAAAGAAAGAGGTCTCAGCATCCGCAGCAAGGATATCTTCAAGGAAGTCAGGAACCTCATCATAGACATGGAGACCAGGGCCAAGATTATAACTTCTGGTAGCCAAAGCATCAACAGCTACAACCCACTCATAGACTTTTGACGTTGGGAAAACGATGCTAATTATAAGGCTGTCGTTATCCTATCCTCCATTGTACACAACATCAAGATTTCGATTCTCAAATTGATAAGTATATAGTATGATATCATAATTGATGTTCGTTCACATCATTAATTTATCTCATTATATATATATATTTATTTATGTTTTAGGATGATCCTAGGATGATCCAAGTGGGATCAAACAAAATAAACACTCAAATAAATTAGAATTGTTGTCACCAATAATAATAATAATAACCTAGGATGATCCAAGTGGGATCAAACAAAATAAACACTAAAATAAATTAGAATTGTTGTCCCCAATAATAATAATAATAAATCTATCGAGCTAACTCATGCATTTGGTTGGTAGGAAAAGGAATGATTTTTCATGTTTGGTAAGTCCAAATTTGGAAAATGATTTCATGGTTCATGAGAAAATATGGGGGAAAATGAAACCCTCCATCTACCTTAGGTTTCATTTTCCATTCTCATGGGGCATGTTTTTAAGAGATAAACTTCATCTCCATGGTTTATATATTAGTTTTTTTATAAATATAATTTTTTTGTCCTCGAATATATATTTCTCTTTAAAATTTTAGTTTTATATATATATATAGTGAGCTTCGGTTGAGGGACACCCTTGTAGAGCTCTCCATACATTGTATTTCATTAATCCAAATCATCTATTTTGTAGATATTCATTCGAAGATCATCTATGCAAAAAATTACTTGGATCCGATATCATTTGACTACTCAATTAAATTATTAAATTTTTGATACTTTCTTGAAACACCGTGTTCATTGATTTTGTAGAACACAATTAGATGTTCAAACGGTTTCTGATTTGTCTAATTTTTTGTAAGGATGATTTATGAATAAAGACCTAAAAAAATAGATGGTTTGGATCATTAGAAAAAAAAAAACTATAGGGTACCTTAAAGGGCATTAGTCCCTGAATTTTCAAAATCGTTCCTGTGGTCCTTCAACTTCAGTTTTGTTGGGACAAATGGTCATGCTGTCAATTTTGTTAACTTTTCTGTTAAATGCAGAGGCAAAATGATATTTTTGTATCAAAATTGATTAAAATATGAATAAAAAGTTAAAAAACTAAGAAATTAAAATTAAACTCTCTCTCTCTCCCCCTCTATCCCGATTTCTACTACCCCAAACTTGATTTTTATTTTTATTTTGTTGGTTATTTATTTGATTTTCTTTTATTGTTATTTTAAAGATATAGTTTTTTATATATGAAATACCATTTTGCCCCTGCGTTTAACAAAAAAAGTTAACAAAATTAACGACATGACCATTTGTCCTAACGAAAGTGAAGTTAAAAGACCACGGGAACAATTTTGAAAATTGAGGAACTCAAATGCAAATTAGATCTAAATTCAGGGACTAATAAAACGATTAACCCTAACAGAGTATGTTTTGCCAAGTAAAACTACTATAAATAAGTCACACGCCCATAAGACCATTTCAGATTGACCTACCAAACCGCATTCACATATGGAGTCCCAAAACAACCAAATCCCCCCAACCCAAAACACTCCTCCTCATCAACCTTTTCCTCAGTCTCAGTCGTCAGCACCACCACCCAGTTTCACGGCCAAAGTTGTCAGCCAAGTAAAATCCAATCTGATTTTCAAGTCCAAATGGGCAGAATTGAATGGGGCAGTGGGTGATTTGGGCACATACATACCAATTGTTGTGGCCTTGACACTCTCTAGGGACTTGAATTTGGGCACAACATTGATTTTCACTGGGGTCTACAACATTATCACTGGTGCCATCTATGGAGTCCCCATGCCAGTCCAACCCATGAAGGCAATTGCAGCCACTGCTCTGGCCAACCCAGATTTTGGTGTGCCTGAAATCATGGCTGCTGGGATTTTGACCGGAGGCATCTTACTTGTTCTGGGTGTCACAGGGTTGATGAAGTTGGTTTACAAGTTTATCCCTTTATGTGTTGTTAGGGGGATTCAGCTAGCACAAGGCTTGTCATTTGCGTTGACTGCGGTCAAATACATTCAGAAAGTTCAAAACTTGCCCAAGTCTAAGGCTTTGGGGCAGAGGCATTGGTTTGGTTTAGATGGGTTGGTTCTTGCTATTGTTTGTACTTGTTTTATAGTGCTTGTTAGTGGTGCAGGTGAGGAATATCATCAGAGAAGTGAGCGGGAGGCTGATGCTGATGTGGGTTCTAATAATGCTGTGGAAGGGAGGCCTAGCAGAAAGGCAAGGTGGTGGAAAATCATAGCCTCACTTCCTTCAGCTTTTCTGATTTTTGTGTTAGGTGTGATTTTGGCCTTTATAAGAAAACCAAAGATTGTGCATGAAATTAAATTTGGACCCTCTCCCATGGAAGTGGTGAAGATTTCTAGGCATGCATGGAAAGAAGGGTTCATCAAAGGGGCAATTCCTCAGCTACCTTTGTCTATATTGAATTCAGTGGTAGCTGTGTGCAAACTGTCCAATGATCTTTTTCCTGAGAGGGATTTCTCAGCCACTTCACTTTCAGTGACAGTTGGGTTGATGAATGTGGTGGGGAGTTGGTTTGGGGCCATGCCAAGTTGCCATGGAGCTGGTGGGCTAGCAGGGCAGTACAAGTTTGGGGGTAGGAGTGGTGGGTGTGTGGCTCTTCTAGGCACAGCCAAATTGGTGCTGGGTTTGGTCTTAGGGACCTCCTTGGTGACCATTTTGAACCAGTTTCCTGTTGGGGTCTTGGGGGTTCTGCTTTTGTTTGCTGGGATTGAACTAGCCATGTGTGCCAGGGACATGAACACGAAGGGGGAGTCTTTTGTGATGCTTATTTGCACTGCAGTCTCACTAGTGGGATCAAGTGCAGCACTTGGCTTTGTGGTTGGGATGGTTGTGTATTTGCTTCTGTGTATTAGAAAATTGGGCAGGGACAAGCCTGCTTCTATGATATGGATGCATGGTGGTGTCTAGACTTTTGTATTTGTTTAATGATGTGGCGTACATTTTTAAGTTGGTAATTAAGTTGGTGCATGCAAGGTTTGGAATTGATTTGAAAAAGAGCGAGAAAGAAAAGGTGCTTGCTTTGTAGTTTTTTTACTTGTAACTTTGCCTTTTTGTAATGGTTTTAAATTGGTGTTCTGGGAGAGAGTCAACAAGTGAAAAAATTACTCACTAGTGAGTTGAGTCTCAGTATTTGTTGCCTGCAGCTTTTCCCTCCTTGCTTACATTGTAGATCGCCTACACTGTAATATGTATATATTGACTTACTATGAATAAGGGAAAGCAATTGTGTTCATATTTCTTGAAGCTGTTGTCTATCTTTCTACTATATATGTTGACTTGCTAAAGAGGTACATTCATTGTAAGATGGGTTTTTGTTCTGCCAGTATGTGTGTGTATCACTCTCATCACGTGACTTAAAAAAGATAGACACATGATTGTATACAACCGTTACACTTAAAAATTTCCTCCATTCAGAAGAAGCTCGTGTTTTTGACTGACCTGATCAAACACTTGCGCTCAGATTCACCATTATAAATTGATGTCCACATTCATGCAATTGTACTTTTTGATGCACGTGTGGAAAGAATCATAAGCTGCAGTAATTACCAACTTCTAGCACTGTTATTTAGTTTATGAATACTTTTACTGAATGAACGAGTCTACAAGTCTTGTTGGTTTCTCCAACTGCGCCTCCACAATAGCTGCAAAGATATGAATAAATACAGAAAAGATAAGAGCCCATTTGCACCTAAGCATATTCTTCGTTAATTGTGCTGCTAATCTGCATCAAAGACGACCAACCCATTTTCCATGATTTTATTCCCCTTGGCTGAAATTCAAGATTTTGAATGGTTAACCTTCCACTTGGGTAAAAAGTTAAAAAGGCAAAAAGGGAAAACAGAGGAAGACTCTGAATAAACAAATTTAAGTATATAGAATAATTTAGTAATGTTGCAGACTGACGTGTAAACCTAATTATGAGTCGTTTATCATCTCAGAAGTCAATTTCTGCATCAAAAACTTTACATTAAATAGCTTATATCAATTTTCACATGCGTGGGCTATAATTTTCTTTTTCTTTTTTCCGTCTATCATGTGTGAGCGACTAATTGACTTTGTTTTGGGAGTTGTTAGGGTAGAGCGGGCTAATTTTCGCAAATCAGAGGCCCGGGAATGAGTATGAAAAAGCCACAAACTCCTTAGTTGCAATCTGGATTTATCTTCAGAGTGACTTGGAACTATCGCAACATCACCATTAGCTATAAAAAGCTTTATGATGGGAGAGAGGTTCTTGAGTAGAGGCTTTTACTACAACAGAATGATAAGATACCTCCTCCTTTAAATAAAGAGGATGCCCTGCTTATATGCACGAGGCTTTGAATAAATTCTGCTGCTGTTCATAGGGACCATACATATATGCTTCAGTAATTTGATGTCATTTTCTTGGTAACAACTTATTTTCTCATTCTCAGAACAAAAAAAATTAATGGATATTTTCAATGTAAAAAAAAAGGACAAAGAAAAGTTATTTGTCTGATGAACAAAAAAATAATTATGTTGGATAGTTTTCGATTGAACTTAAAAAAAATTTATTTGAAGGAAACCATGAGGATGTAACACCATTTCAACGACACATCCGCGTATGGCCATGACACCTCATGCCCACATGCGGCTCCATCTAATTACTAATTAGATTGCAAAATGTGACAAATGTGTTATTGGCCTCCCTATGGATTTTAGGCCAACTCCGCAACTGGAGATAATAGATGGAGGTATATGAAACTCAACTATTTTCCTTAACAATTTATTATTTTTTTTCAAACTTTCATATGAAATATGACTGGTGGTGATATTGTGGGATTCATGTAAAATTATAAGAAAGTTGAAAAAAGAAGAAGAGAGGGTTTGGATATCGAATAATCCATTCGTCATTCCAGAAGCCAATAATAACCCATAACCCATTCGTCATTCCAGAAGCCATTCGTCCATTCATGGCATCTTAAGGCAATAATAACCCATTCGTCATTCCAGAAGCCAGTCTATGCATCTACCATGCCTAAATGCAAGCCATAGGGGTCAAAAGGAAAACGCTGCTTCCATCATTTTGGAAGTACAATGGCCACTTTAGAAATTGAGAAATTATTGGCTCATTCTCTGACAGCTTCGTAAAAACTCAAATTCGGGTAAAGCAAAACGAAGAGGCTCCTAACCTCATCCAAAAAGTGTATCATAAACAATATAATGGCATAAGAGAGCATTTTTTATTTTCAAATACACAAGATTCAGCTCCAGTTGAGTAAAATATGATAGCAGCCTCATGCAAAATTAGAGAATCTTGGTCACAAAGGAACTATATATTAATAATATACAAATTAGTACAGCCATGGAAGAACAAATTTGCTCATGGTAGCAAAGATATTTACAAATCTTGAGAAAATAGCTTGGACCCCAATGAAACTGTAGGATGTCTACAAAGTAGTATCTATATTTACTCATTACCCTTGATGTTTAACCAGAAAGGATGCAGACTCCCTCCTGAAAATGCTTGAAGGCCAAAAGAATTTTTAAACTTAATGGAATAAAGAATCTTTCATCTATCCAAATGGGTTTCCTCTCATTGAAGAAAAAGTTTCTGAGTTGCTGGGTGCTGGGTATCTGATGCTTGGCTGCTGAAATGGTTGCTGAGTTGTGCTTAAGGCGCCAAATACAGCTTCGTCCCTGCCAAAGCCACCGACTCCTTGTGGTCTGCAATGACGATAGTGGCGGAAAAATTAAGAAATTATATTCGTTGTCTCAGCTGAAATGGCTCGTAGCATGCGATGCAATACAAAAAACGATAACCAAGAACAAATCATTTACCTCGTGTAATTATTATGCAATTGCTGCCCCATGTAGGCACCTGAGATGATTATATTATTAGATATAAACAAAACAAGAAGCCAAGAAAAGTTGACAAGAAACAGAAGATAACGAAATGAATTTACTAGGAGAGAATGCAGTTGCAAAGGAAGGCGAATGTGATGGTATCATGGATTCATTAGTTGGAGATTGAGGTGCCTTCAACTGCGAAACATGAGTAGGAAAGCTGGAAGCATGCATCAAGCCTGGAGGTGCTGACACATGATGCAGAGCTCCTTGCAATGGGGCCATGGAAGGAAACTACAACAAAAATAATACTTGGAAGGTTCAAAATAAAATTCTTAGCTATGATTTGAACTTTTATTTCTTGAGAAAAGAAAAAGAATGCTCTTAAACATAAAAATAAAAATAAAAAAGTCAACTAAGAGTATGAATTTTTAAAACTTCGCAAAATTGAGAAAGAATAAGACGTCAGTTTGAATGTTGTGCATACATGTGTGGAATGTACTACACTTCTTTCTTCATTAAGATCAAATGGGTTTGTTGGTTTTGCTGGAGCAGGAAATGCAGGAGCAGGCTGTAAATGAAAATAACATATCAATAATCTGCATACATTAAGAAATCTTAACACAGAACATATTCAGCTTGATTCATTTTTATACATTATATACCGTTGTGTTAGGGTAATACTGCATGCTGTACCCCATTCCATGAGCTGGAGCAGTATGCCAACCTGAAGCTTGTGCAGGGACTGATGAGTACCTTGCAGAGAATAGGTCCTGTAGAGAATTCAATATAAGATAATGACTAAGAAAATTTTTACAGAAAAAGAAATATGAAACAACATAAGACAATTTCATACCAATGGAAGTTCCTTTCTCATACTAGAGCTTGTTTCCACTGGAAAATATTGGGATCCAGCTCTACTGCCGGCATCTTTAGCTGGCTTTAAAGAAGATTGAGTTGATTTTTCAACAGGAATACTGAGAGATCTTTGTATGTTTGGTGCCAGTGGTATAGTCCTTGACTGCAAATGTGTACATTAAGCAACAAAGTAAGAAAAAACCATGAACTACATAAGACACAAGAGAAAGCAGTATATTTACATTGAAGAATTTTCAGAATAATTCATAATCAGTGATTGCTTAAATGAATTTTCAATATTTAATAAGGAGGAAGCCATTTATCTTACCTCACCATTTGAAGCTCGAACTGGAAAATTGATATGTTGTGAACCACTATCTGCAGCGAAGGATTGCTGCATACATGGTGGCTGCTGCCCATTATTAACTTTTAGAGTGGAATCACCCCCACTAGGAGGAGTTAGAGCTAGCAAAGGACCTGCATTAGCAGGTTGTTCTGGTACAGCGGTACTAGTTGATGTAGATGTAGAAGCAGTTAGAGCATCAAGTAATGTTGGTATCTGCTCTACAGGTGCAGCTGGGGCAGCACCGCCTGCAGGCATGTTGCTTATACACAAAGTTGAGGGTGCAACGTCATTGCATGGTGTCTCAGATGCATTAGTCGCAGGTACACATGAGGGAGCTGACAATTCAAATAGCAAAGACTCCAAAGGGTCTGGATTTGGAACCTGAGATGCCTTTTCGTTTGAAGATGAATCAAATGAGGCCCAGTTGTTATCATTATTAGGTGGAGGTGTTTGCTGTGATTGTGAATTTGCTGCGGCATGTGGGGGGTCGGAATCAGTATTGAAATCAATCAAGCTTACTATTTTGTTTTCCGTCACATTCCCATCCTGGCCATTGGCAGATTTGATTTTCTACAGAGGAAACCACAAACTATAAGTGCATATCTTTCTTGAAAACTGTCTATAAAAAAAGTAGTCTTCCAAACCAACAGAGCCTATGAACCTACATAAAGAAAAACACCTATGCTCCAATGAAATATCCATCATAATGCAGCAGCAACTGACCTGATTATGAGCAGAACCATCAGCATCCTTCTGATTTTCTGTAGAAATTTCACCAACCTGTAGAGGAGGCACATTCTGCACTAGTTTCTCTTCAGTGGGGCGTGCAACAAGGGAACGGGACCTCTCCATGTTCTTCTTATTTTCAGTTGCCCTGCTTTGGACCTTGAATTCTCCACTTGAGGATCCATTGCATCTGGTTTTTTCCTCCCGAATCCTGTTATCAACAATCTCAAAACGCAGAGGATTTCTCTTGACACCACCACTTCTTACATTTTCTTGAGAATATCGAGGACTTCTTCTTTCATCATAGTAATATCTTAAACTTCTGTCGGTACCTCTTTCACCTGGACTAATTCCTTGACTATAACTCCGTTCATACATGTCGTCATCATGGAAGGTCCTAGATCCACCATGATATGAACCTACCTTCCTGCCTTCGTTAGACTCCTCATTGCTCTGTATAAAATGAACAAGAATCTTTAACTGGGGGCAATCAACAGAACTTACAAACAATCCATCATCACAAAACCAAAATGAGGTCTATGTTTGTAGTGCTTGCTGCTGCTGGTATAGCGTGCAGATCAGGAATGGCCAAGCTCTCCG